AAGTGGCCCTCGGCCATGGTAGTCTTGAGCACCTCAAGGGACTTAGTGTCCATGCTTGTGAGTGCTTGGGAGCCCTCCATCACACACATACTTGATAGCGATCATCCGATTGTGTGAGTGGCGATTCTAGTGCGATTGCATCATGAGGTTGCATCGAGTGGCACTAGGTGATCGAGTTGCGAGCCGGTGGTGCTTGTTACTCTTGGAGGTTGCCACCTCCTAGACGGCTTGTGGTGGTCTCCGTCGAAGCCCAAAGAAGCTTGTGCGGCGCGCTCGGAGAAGTGCTTGTGAGGGGTACTTGTGCTCGCCCAGCTGAAACCATGAAGAGCAACTCTAGTAAAGCGTGTCATTGAGCTACCCTCACTCAAGGGTAGGTTCTTGCGGGCGCCCGTGCGTGCGGGCTTAGCGGGTGATGCTAATTAGCCGAACCACCAAGTGAGCGGTCGACACAACGGGGGACTAGCGTGTTGGCAAACACGTGAACCTCGGGAGAAAAATCATCGTGTCAACCTTGTTCTTCCCGTTGGTTTGCATCCCATTACACAAGCTTGCAATTACTTATATATATCTTAAGCTTGTGTAGTTGCTCTTATAATTAGATAGCTTGTGTAGCCAGCTAAATTACCTTCTTGCTTGTGTAGCATAGAAGTAGCTCCCTTAACGTGGCTAGTTTGGTTTTAGTAACCTTGTTAGTCACATTGCTTAGTTTGTGTAGCTAAGTATTTGCGCTCTCTAATTAGGCGTTGGTTGCCTTGTTATTGAGCATTGCTAGTGAGCTTAGTTAGCTTTGTGCTTTTGCTTACTAGCATGTGTAGGAGCTCCTTGTTACTTAAAGTACTAGTGGCATAGGTTTGTGACCTGACCTGCTCCTAGAATTGTTTAGGAGAGCTCTAGCTAGCCCGGCTCCTTAGTTGCTTTATTAGTATCTTTGCAAGGTGCTAGTGAACATATATAGAGGGGTGTAGTCTTGGCTAGACCGATTGTTTTAATTCCGCATTTATATCGGTTAGCCGACGTGATTAATTTTAGAAAAGACTATTCACCCCCCTCTAGTCCGCCATCTCGACCCTTTCAGAAGTCCAAGTCCAAAAGCCAAGCTATCAAGCTAATGGACAAGGTTATCAGTGAGCAAACCAGGATTGGTGAAGACAGGAACAAGATGATGGAAAGACACGTTGAACTACAGGAAAGGAAGGCTAAAATGAAGGCAATCATGAAGAAAAGATGCAGGGAAGAAAAGAGAAAGGAAGAGGAAGATAAAGTTGAAATTGTGCAGCGGATGGCAAGGGACTGTGGTGTTCAACCAAATAATATAAGGTTGTGGTACACTGTCCTGCAGATCTGCAAGGACAAGAAGACTATGACTTTCTTCAAGAAGACTGATCCAGATGCAAGGAAGGGGTTCATTGAATACTATGCCAGTGTCAACAACTAGTCCTGTGTGTCAATGTCTGTCATCCAGAGTCATGTGTGTGTCATTTGAACTATGTGATGTGTGTGTCATTTGAAATAAGTCATGTATGTGTGTGAACTAAGTGATGTGTGTGATTCAAGTTATTACATCTTTGTCGATTACTATGTGAACTAAGTCATGTATGTGATGTCAGTACTCACTATTTATTGAATACTTGCATGTATGTGATGTGTGTGTCATTTGAACTATGTGAACTAAGTCATGTATGGATGTCAGTACTCACTATTTATTGAATACTTGCAGATTTAGTACTCACTATTTATTCTGAGCTGCTTAAGTTATTTTGAATGGTGTCACTACTAACTATTTCATGTATCCAATTTGTCAGGTACTTGAAACAACAATGGATGAGAGCAGCTCAAGCAAGTCAAGTAGCTCCAGCAGTTCAAGTAGTTCCAGCAGCTCTGATTCAAGTGATGATGAAGTAACCAGCATGCTTGTGGATGATGAAGGTTCTCATTTAACTAGTGGTATGCTTCTTTTTGCTCTGCATACTGAAAAATATATATCTAGATCAGAGTACAGAATACCATTGGTACCTGGGATAAAGTGGGTAGAGAGAAAGCTATCAAACAGAGAGAGCTGCTACAAAATGTTTAGGATGACCCCAACTTTGTTCTACAGACTCCATGAAAAGTTAGAGTCTTATGGCCTGAAATCCACTAATAAGTGTTCCTCTATTGAAGCATTAGGAATGTTCTTGTGGATGGTTGGAGCACCACAGTCAGTTAGGCAGGCTGAGGATAGATTTGAGAGGTCACTAGGTACAATTCATAACAACTTCATGAAGGTGTTGAAATATGTTTGCAAGCTAGCTGCAGAAATCATCTGCCCAAGGGACCCAAGTTTCAGTGATATGCATCCTAGATTGTAGAATCCTAGATTCTCTCCCTTTTTTAACAATTGTATTGGAGCAATAGATGGCACTCACGTACCAGTAATCGTAGACAAGGATTTGATGGTTCAACACATGTGTCGCAAGAACATTACAACCCAGAACGTCATGGCTTGTTGTGATTTTGACATGAGGTTTACATTTGTGCTTGCTGGATGGCCTGGTTCTGTACATGACATGAGAGTATTCAATGATGCTATGGACAAATGGAGCAATAAGTTTCCACATCCACCATCAGGTACATATTGTTGTAGTTGAGGTAGTTCTGTTTCCTATTTGAGTTAATGGAAGCTAACCGCAGTTCATAATTGTGCATAAAAGTTTTACCTAGTGGACTCCGGGTACCCAAACCGTCCGGGATACCTTGCACCGTTCAAGGGAACCAAATATCATCTTCCGGAGTACCGTGACGGCCCGGAGCCCGAAGGTAAAAATGAAATATTCAACTTCACACATTCATCGCTTAGGAATGTGATAGAGAGGTGTTTTGGAGTACTAAAAATTAAATGGAGGATTCTGCTAGGGATCCCTGCTTATCCTCCACATGTCCAGACCAAAATAATTGTTGCTTGCATGGCACTACATAACTTCATTAGAGCTAGTGGATTAGTGGATAGGGACTTTGCACTTTGTGATCGTGATGAGAATTACGTCCCACCTGAAGCGTCATACTCTCAGCCACGAACTACTCCGGCACCGTCAAGGGAAGATGCAGAAGTGATGAATGCGTTTCGTGAATCGATCGCTGTTGGGCTATATAATCGTTCTTTGTAATCGCTCGCTGTTGGCACTTTGAACTTGGTCTGTTAGCTGTGTTTGTGAACTGTAAACTGTGTAAAACATGTGTAAAACATGTGAACTGTGAACTGGTTTGTATAAAACTGTGAACTTTGAACTGGTTTATGAACAATTTAGTATATGTAAAATGTGAACTGTGTTTGTGAAATGCCCTTTGTGAACTGTTAAGCTGTGGTCGAATTTTATCAAAATTATTTGATTTGTGGCATGGAAGAAGGCAACATCGACATTGTGAACTGTAGCTTTGTGAGCTGTTGATTGTTGACTTGCATGGAAGAAGCAGCATGCAAGCCACTGTGAAGAAGCAGCAGCAACGTCCATGGTTAGAAGCAGCAGCATGCATGGTGCATGGGGATGAGGGCAAATCTGTAATATTTGTATTCTGAATTCTGGATTTTGGGTTGAACTAAACATGTGTATGAGATTTTTTGGATTCTGAAAATTGGATTGCCAAAAGACCAGAATTCTGGATTCTGGATTCCCACCAGAGCTAAACAGGCCCTGATTAGTTCAGTATTCCTTTCTTGTTTCGTCCTTCTAATGATTGAGAAGTACTGAAGTAGTAACACCTGGATGAACCCTTGCATGAGGCAACTGGCATGACCAAATCACTCAACGTGACGGTGAAAATCAGTGGGACTTTGTTATAGGCCTTATTTTAGATACACATGTATTCACCTCAATTTATATGGGTTAGAGTGGATTATAGTGTAACTTAGTTTTATTTCGACTATAATCCATTTTAACACATATGGGCAGGGTTTTCAATTTCAGATTTAGAAATATTTCGCCACCACCGAAATGACTGAATTTCGCGAATTTCAGACGAAATTTCACCGAAATTTTTTTTAGAGACTTAAACATAGTTTGTTTTTTTAGATCTTTTAGATCTAAACAAAATAGTAGCATGATTTATGACTACATGTACTAAGTAGAAGAATATCCAATATAAACAATAGAAAATATAAGTCTACAGTTGTATAGAACATTAATTAGTGTGATACGAAATTTCGGATTTTTTCGACTGCCACAGAAATTCCCGAAATTCACGAAATTTCGACAAAATTTTGAACCCTGCACGTGAGTTGAGTACATTCAAACAATCCCTTAATCCACATACGTTGAAATGAATTAAAGTAAAAATTAGTTATTTTTCTACTCAAATACACCCTAATACACGTGAATTGAGGTGCATGTAACCGTGATTGAATCAGGTGCAAAAGCAAGTTCAATCACGTGTCGCCAAGATTAGCTAGAGCCTGATAGCGATAATCACCTGGTTTCCCCTCGTTACTTTTCTCAATGATGATTGCAGTACCAACAACAAAGCATCCAACCAGAAGCAAAAGCATACCCTGGTCTGTTGTCTCGCCCAGCACTCTGGATATACATTTTGGGCCAGGCAATCCATGTATCTTGAAGCGGAAAAAACTGCTCGGCTACTGCAGTCACAAACATGTCTCTGTCTGTCTTAGAAAATTCAACCACTTAGCAGCAAAAATAGCAGCTTTCCAAGTTAATAACTATCCAAAGCGAACAACGGAAAATATTCAAGGGCATTAAGAGCCTTTTACCACGACCAACCACCAATTTTATGGAGACCTACGAAATGCCGACTAGTCATTCAAGGCTTACAAAGTCAACATGTCCCAGAAACTGATAAATAATACTCTTTAACTGCTGATACAATTAGCCGCAGCATATTTTACAACTCTGGATCACTCAACAACAGCCATCTCAGCGAAATTATGAGATAGCACATGCTAAACCTATTTCCCAAGCTAAGCTATGGAAACGGTCAAAACTTATAGTGGGGCTGCTAGAACCCCCATGTCAATCGGCCAAGCTATCAAGGAAGCTCTGTAGCTCCCTCAGGCCCTCTGCAGATATGCTTCTCTGTACACGAGGCCTAGGAGTTGTTAGAACAGGAGGCGGCCTAGAGTTGAAGCAGACGACAACCACAGAAAGGTTATCACCACTCTTCCTCTTGATGGCCTCATCAACTACTTCTTTACAGCAAGTGGCCGGGTCATTGTGCTCTTGGAGCTTACGGCGGGCAAAATCTACCACATTTTGGCTGCGGAATACATCCCAGATCCCATCACAACCCATGATCAGGAACTCGTCCTCTTCAGTCAGATCTGTTGTCATTACCTCAGGCTCGGCACTGAGAGGGCCAAGACCATCACATGCCTTCATGCCTTCCATATGCCAATCCCCGATTGCTCGTGCGACATTAAGCTGCCCGTTCAGGTACTCATCATCGACATATCCACCCAATGACTCAATACGCATCTTCTCCCTGTTGCAAGATGGTTTGTGATCCCTGGACATCTCGATTGCCTTTCCACGACGACAAAGTACTGCTCGACAATCACCAGCATTCGCGACCAGAAGTGACCTGTTGAGCACCCAGAGACAGAAATATGCCAGCAGCTGAGGATGAAGTGAAAAGCATGTGCAAAATTTAACAGATCAGAACTCACAAATTTAATTATTCACAAAATTAGCTATCTTCAGGACATTCATTAAACGAGAACACATGAATATTGTTGAGAAAAAAACACATGCATGCACCATAAAAATTTGCAAATATGCAGTCACCAAAGGGCAGGGGATGCAGATCCTTGTAGGCAGTGGCGGAGCCAGCCGAAAATTTTAGCTGGGGCATACTAAATGAACAAATCGCATATACCTGCGCAGTGTCATCAAGTCTAGCAACAGGCCTAGTATCCTACACAATATACTAAGTTCAAACTCTCCGTTAATGGCAGACAAACTGTTTACAGCACTGAGTTCCATGCAAATTGCTAATGACGCATTTAGCGAGAGAAAATTTTAAGCCCAACCAGTAATGTTTGAGAAAATTTCAAACCTATTATGTTTGCTTAAGGCCAATGGGGACAAATTGAGCAAAACTTCTTGTACAGAGAGCAATAAAGAAGTAATTCCCTAACTTGTTATATTTCCCACTTGGCCAGCTCTCCAGTAGCCTTGCTTCCCATCGAGGACGATAGCATGTGCTGCTGCGTCTCTTCTTCCATTGTTAGGTTGGCCTCTTTTCGTTCCGGGCCTGCTAGCCAGTTAGGCTATGGACCAGTAAGCCCAACGAGCCATACCCCTTCAGCAGACAGTAGTAGTAGTTTCTTGCCCGATCGTTTAGACGCTGAGTTCGACCGCCGCCGAGTCACTGAGCTTTGCAGTTGCAGCGGTCATGGAGATGAGGGAAAACTGAATGGGGTAATGAAGTTGGCCGGCTAGTAGCTGGGGCGGCCGCCCCATGTTGCCCAGGGTGGCTCCGCCCCTGCTTGTAGGGAAAAAATGAAGGCACATGTCGCTCATTTGCAATTAAGCGCGCGAGTGCAAAGTGTTAGAACAGATTTGGCCAGGTGGGACAAAAGGGTACATGATGCCATAAACAGCAAATAGTAAAGGCTCAAATGATAAACTTCAGATAGCAGTTACCATGTGTCATATCATGTGATGTCAGAATTGATTTTGGCAGATTGGATAAAAAAAAAACAGCTCCCATCGTCCATATGTAGTGAGAAACTTCAAATAGCAGTTACACCTATTCTATACAATGACTTTGTATGGATCACAGTTGCAGAAGTTAATGAGAGCATTACCTCCCAACCACAAGTGCTGCAAGAGCAGTTGTACCAGAAGCAAGAGAGCAGTTCAGAGAACAAGCATCCGCAAAAGCAGCATCGACCTGCAAGAATGCAGAGGATACTGCTTTCACTATCTCCCTAGGAAAACCCTCATCCTCGACAATAAACCTTGGTAAATTGCTGCACACAAAATCAGCTGCATGCTTTCCACCATGCCCATCAAAAACCTGAATAAAAAATGGAAATAAGGTTAAACATGCAGGAAATGCTAGCCAGATGGATGGACCAAATTATTTTCCAAATAGGATGCCTATACTGTTTCTCTAGCCAAATGACTAAAACCAGCTAAGATATATAGCAGTATTGACAAAGGAGATTGGACACTGCCACAATTCATTAGGAACATACCCCATAAAAGGCACTGGGGCCTTCGTCAGAACTTTCAAATCCGAAGTCCTGCATGAAATTATCAGAGCAGATAAAGACATCCTCCATTGTGTGCCTTGAGCCAATATCAGCCCACCCACCAGATCGTACAACTGGAATAAATTCAGTGTCTATGCTTTCAAAAGCTCTCTCATTTTCAGCCTTCGTATTGTTGGTAGGACTCCTCACCTTCAAAACCAGTGTCACTTATCAAACATACAAGAAAAGGATACACACTTTCAAACTGAGGTAAAAGGCCTTGTTTTATTTCCTTTTTTCACTATAATTAAAAGGTAAAAGACGAACATGTCAGATATATACCACCTTTTTTGATTCGCTAGGTGCACATACCGTGCACCGTGCCACCAGCACACGAGTTACAAACTCGTGCTCTGAGTGTGCCTTCATTCGGCACATATATCGCCTTATAAATCATACTATATCAAGTAAATCCTCACATTGATACTCATGATCAAACATAAACCAGGTACCTAGTAGAACTATGAGATCAGAACCAAAACCCCTCAGCTTCTGCTTCCTAAATTTGCTTGATGGTCTTTCCAAAGAAAAAAAAATCATTTGATGGTAGAGTATAAAATTAGTTTAGGGGTTTTCCAACCGTTGAGGACTGGAGAAATTTATTGGATCAATCAATCAACATATAAAGCAGAGTAGCAGACAAAAGACAGAACTTTGAATAATGTTCTGGGGGCCATGAGGCCAGAACAGGGCGTGGGGGTATCAGACTTTTCATGACATGTAAGTACTGGATTAACAGTTCAATTATGCCCTTTTGCCATGTACTCGAACCACCCAACCTTTTCACCACAGGGCATGATAAAACAATAATCTTTACCAGAACAAAACCCCCAGGTCAAGAAAAGTTACATCATCATGTATTCATGTCCATTACCAAGTACCTGTGTCTGCAATAAATTATACACGACGAAATTACTAGGGAAGCATCAGGTACCAAGGCAGGAGTATCTACTTCCCACAAACATTCTGGAATGTCCCCTGCCCTCGAACTTGACCCATTTGATACTAAAACCTATCATTTCATATAATCCAAAGCAGTCTTTTCAAAACACCACCGGATCACATATAATTGCTTTCCAGACTCCCAATTGCGTGCATCCACATAAACCGCCTGGTTCCAAGCATCTTGCCCCTCTACTTACTAGTCACTACCAGTACTCTAGTACAAACAAGGATGTACCAGGAGCTTCAGAGAACTCTTTTCCCTCCCACTCTTCTCTCACATCCCAGATCCAGGACAACACGTCCCATCCCATCACACCAGTGCAAACCCTAGCGCCTTGGCACAATCGGCTCGCGCCTCGCAGCTGAGGCGGAAGCAGCCACACCAAACGACACAGGTTAAGCATTCGAATCAAGCCGACCACCACACAAAAGCTCCCATCTTTCGAGCAGATTACGCAAGCTATCTTGCATTCTTGCTAGCCGCGGAGGAAGCGAGATTCAGGAGAGCCAACTTACAAAAGAGGAGTGCCGCGCAAGCGCCGGCTTCCTCACCGCCGCCGGGATCGGGGGCCTCCCCCCGCCGCCGCCGCCTCGAGGAAGTTGCTCTTCCATCACCGACCAAATCGGCTAGGGTTAGGGTTCGGATATGGTCCTGGGAGCTGCCTGCCGGTAGTAGCCTCCGTACTGTGGGGTGTGAACAGTAGCAGCAGAAAAGGCAGGGGAGGCCAGGAAAAGGCGAGGGGAAAACGAGGGGCACCACAGGGGCGTTTCGGTAATTTCGTTGGTGATTAAGCTAATCATGGCGAGTAACAGCGGCGCTTAGCCGCTGGTCTCTGTGAGATGCGAGATCCGGTTTCCGGGGCTCGCGCTGCCAGTGGTGGGGCGGCGCGGTCGCGGGCGCGCGGCTGTGGATAGGGGCGCGTGCGGAAACGTGTACGTGTCGAGCGGTCAGCGGACGGGGTGCTGGAGCCGGGAGGAGAGGTCGGGGCCTGCATCTGCATGGCTATGACACAAGCACGTGCGACGGGACTAGAGGCGGCGGCGGAGCCTTCCCATGGCAGTCCGGTCTGGCGGCGGAACCACGGCTGGAAAGTGGAAAGGGCAGGACACCATGGTCGCGAGTGACGGTGAGTGTGAGCCAGGGCATCGTTTGGATGCCCAAATTTTTAGCGAAATGCTACTGTAGTATTTTCGTTGTTATTTGGTAAATAGTGTTTAATTATAGTCTAATTAGGTTTAAAAGATTCGTCTCGTGGATTTCATCTAAACTGTGTAATTAGTTTTATTTTTTATTTATATTTAATGCTTCATGCATGCGTTCAAAGATTCGATGTGATGGAAAATCTTGAAAATTTTGTCATTTTGGAGTGGAACTAAACAGGCCTCAGGTAACGCTGCTTATGAGCGTGATTGGTTGCTTCGGGCAGGGTATCCGGGATGGAGGACCGGTCCTGAGTGGTGTGATGCAGGTTGAAATCATTCATCTATGTGTGGGTTGTAACTTTGGGATTAGTATTGGATGACAGTCAATTTGTTTGGTTGCCAGCTTACACTAATTTGAGGAATGAGCTGGTACTGTTAGTTGTGTTTGTTTTGGCGCATTGCACAAGGTGTGAGCACCCATATGTCACTTTGGTGAAGTTACCACCATTTTTACCAGAACAAGCATGGGAACACAAACATTGCCTCAGATTAATTTGTATCATTATCAACTATGACCTTAGAGCATAAGAGATATTACAAAATAATACAACAGCAATAGTAAGAGGCAGTTCTTCCCACGTTTAACAATTTAAAAGATGAGCTCAGATAACAGAGGGAAAGCCACCCATGTATGAACAGACAATGGTTAACATATTGGCCTCAGATAACAGTTCTTCATCGGTTGACCTTGAGCTTGGAGCATAAGAAACACAGAAGGCAATACACAACAATGGTAACAAACAAACATGAAAACCAAATAGAATAAGACCAGAGTTTCAGTGCCTCACAAGCTCAAGGTCATCAGGTATTTGTAATCCAGTACACATGGCGGTTTAGTTATCATCGTAGGCTTGACAAGAATATCAAAGCTGCAGTCACCTCATTCTGTCATGGAACTAGAAACAACATAGGGCTTGATTGGTTGCCCGAAGCACTATAAGGAGGCATTTTAGGGCATAGACCCCAAGCTCCTTTCCCCGATAGGCAACATACCAAGACATGGCATTTTGAGCATCACAGACAGTTGTAGCAACGAGCAAGAATGAACCACAGGAGCACCAGCAACAGAAAACACTGCCCCACAGCCACAACAAATAACACCGGTTTATTCCTGAGCACCTTTGGTGGAGGATTGACAAAAACTTTACTATCTTCACAACCCATGAACTCTAAGTATTCTGCCTCTTCTTTGTTAGGGAAGCTCGTGTAGCTGTTGTTTTTAAAACTAGTTAACTGGGCATTGCATCTAGCCCAGGTTGCATATACCCCAGGAACTTTTCCACGGTACACAACATACCAAGCCATTTGCCTCTTAAAAAACACATAAAAGCAAGTATAAGATATTGATAAGATGCGCGGTAGTTCAATCGATTTGCCTCAGATTTAATTGTCTTTTCATTTGACCTTAAACTTGGAGCTTAAAAAACATAGACAGTAGCAAACCTCAAACAGATAGTAGAAAACCAAGATCATGACAGTCATGAAACCATGTGAGGCATCCAGCTCAGCCATCAGATCATCAAAATTGTCTAGCTATTGCTTGGGCATGGATGTCTCACATGGTTTGATTACAGCCATGAGAAGCAGAAGCAGAAGATAGAAGAAACAATGCTCCAGTACCTCATAAGTCCAAGATCAATAATGTGCTTAATCAATTACTCAAACTAGCATTGTTATCTTCATAGGCATGAAAAGGATCTCACAATTGTATCAGCCTCAGTCAAAAAATGGTTAACATTAGAAGCACAAAAAAACGTAGGCCTCAGCTAATGTAAACTGCAATCATCCCAGGTGGCAAATAAGAACACAAATTGCTAAGGCAGGTTCATGACTCCCATGGAAGCGTGCGACATGTCCATCCCAGCCATCCGATAAGCATGCCTACAATAGTTGCTTGGGAATGGACGTATCCTACGGTTTGATGAAAGACATGAGAAAACACAAGAAGACAATAAAGCAACAACAGGAAAAATACCCACAACCACCTCAGATTGCTATAGTTTGCATCATCGGCCAAATAGAAACTCCTACAAGAACAATAACAGCATCTGAAATGTCTGAGATGAACTGACAATCCAAGATATTTTAGGACTCAGATCAACTAAGTGACAATCCATCACCCTTTGTTAATGTCTACACACAGATCAACAAAGCCTCACATCCATCACCATGGCTCCTATGCTATTCCAGACTAGGTGCAGCCTTGGTTAGGCGGCAAATGGTTCTTTGTAGCATCAGTTGAGGTAAGTGCTACACCTCAAAATACTTCCTACAGCATAAGACAGTTAGCATGGTTATATGCAAAAGTGGAGAGGCCAGCTAGTATGCATCTAAGAAAAGTAGGTTGTGCTCAGGTAGGTCCTAAGCCACAGGATCCTATGAGCCTCTGTCATCTCAACAAAGCAAAGTTCCTCAGTAGGTAAACCAGGGCAAACATGAGTGCCTCCTGTGAGTACCTAGGGCAGTCCATAACATAGCCATAAAGATCCTATCGACACAGAATTTTTATCTCCGTGCCAAAGACACACGCAGCAAGCCGGAAGGGTCCGCTCAATGGAACAGATCCGCCTAGCTTCAGCGCAAGGGTGGTTGATCCTACGCAAACCTCCCGAGACGTGCCAGTCAATTTGACCCTGCAATTGACAAGGAGAGAAAGCTCATCAGTAATTAAGAGCGGAACATGCCGGTGTTGCCAGACAGTCCTGAATGTGTGGCTCTGAGAGCCGATATGAGAGGAGATAAACTAAATAGTCAATTCCAGCATATTCATAAGAACAAATCGATTAAAGCTCATGGGGTTGTATAAGAAGAATCAGTTATCATTCAGGATAAATATTATTTAAGCAAATATTAATTAATGGCAATAAGATATCAATGATGATCGGTTTATGCTGAGCCAATGATTACGAGTAACCGAACTCCTTTTTATATAAAGAAACAATTCAACACCACTTGACCATTTAATAAAGATAAATCTAATGAACATGTTAGATCTCATCTATCGCCATGACCAGTGGGGCATGAGGCAGAATCATGCAGGCCGTAGAAACAACAATAGACTCGATGACCCTAACTCATTACTAATATCAGGGGAGCATGAGGCAGAATCATGCAGGCCGTAATACAATAATAAGATCATGGGGCTAACATATCTTTAAACTTATCTCTACTTCAATGAAAGCGCTCGATATCAGCTAAACAGCCGATTCAGGCATAGCGCATAGTTAAGGTCATGCCTTCTCAGGAATGGATCTACCAACTAACGATCCCCACTCCACGGTGCTAACAGTGGGGTGAGAGGCAGAATCCTACAGGCCATGATAACGGGCCATGAAACGGTTCTCGCTAACTAATAGATCTACTCAAAATCAAACATGCCTTAATCGCACGCTATGCACGATTAAGATTGATATAAAACAGCCGATAAAGCATAACTCATCGTTTAAGGTGTAGATTAGATCAACTTTAGATTAGCAAACGATGGGTTAAATAAGATATAAGGCCGATCCAGATCAATCTCAATCGGGCAGAGTGATATTGTTGTAATTAGATAAACGATGAAAGCAATAAGTAATATCGGCTACCAAAGACTGCCATCCTAAGGTAGAGCCGATAACTTGACCTTGATCTAGTTCAAACAGTGGGGTGTGAGGCAGAATCACATAGGCCATACTTGAACTAGGCAAGAGTCGATAGCTAGCCTATACCAGAGTCGCAGTGGAGGTCGACCGGATCGATGCAGCCATAGGAACAGAGGTATAAACCATGATGGTACTTACAGACAAGCAGTGGAGGTCGACCGGATCGATGTAGCTGTACTCGCTGAAGAACTCGCTGAGATCTACTCTACTCCTACTCCTAAGTGGTGGCCAGAGCCGAAAAAAGTAATTGACTTGTATGTGATTGATTGTGTTTTTTACAATAGCCTGGGTTTGGTATTTATACCCGGAGCCTAAAAACGAACCTTACTCGAGTACGACTCAATACAATCTTTGGCATAATAAAAACATTCCTAATTTTAGATAACTTGGACTCTAATCTTTCACTTTTTGTAGAGTCCAGCATGTCTTATCTCAGCGCCGATCATAGCCTCTGTCGTTATCTGCTGGCGCTATCTGAAGAAAGACGATTCTAGTACTGCATCCGAATCAACTAGCTCCGATCTCCACACAGCTGATTCCTTGATGACATGATTTTCGGGAGCTTCCAAATCCCTGCAACTCTTCTTCCAAATTCTGGTGTAAACACATGCTCCCCAATTTTGGAATAAAAGTAATTTTATTCTAAAATTATCACGTCTTTATCTTCGATGGGTCTACAGTCACGGGTAGAGAATTTTGATCTAGGGTCTACTGTTTGTCGCTGCCGATGTCAGCTCATAAGCCCATGCTTCACAACTTTTACGAGAG